TAGGCAAAGAATGACCCATCTTTCCCGGACGGGGGGTAATAGTGTGGGTCCCCGGAGGGGGGTAAAGGGGAGGGAGGTTTCCCGCCATTCCGGCCGCCTTTCCTGCCTGCCCCCCTGCCTCCCCGTTAACCTTCCCGCCACGCTCCGCCCCCCGCCCCCCCCCCCCCCCCCCACCACCCCGCCAACCACAGGCAGACAGGCAGACAGTCAGACGATCAACGTCACACTTGACTCCGACAACGACAACACATGGGAGTTCTTCAAACGGTTGTCATTCTCGTCGGAGTAGCTGCTGCTGCTGGGTACTTTGTCTTTGTCTCGGACTTGGTGGTGACAACTTGGTCGCCTGTAGTGGCTGGCTGTGAGCTGTCGCTGGAGCGGACAGCCCGTGGCAACTCAGTCATGTCTATCCATGCTGACTCGGATCGATGTGCTGCTGTGGGGCAGGGATGGGCTCATGCTATGGATCGATTGGTTCAGATGTGCTTTGTTCGTATCCTCACCACCTCTCGCTTTGGGGAGGTCTTTATGGGTGATGAGCCCAAGGTGATGGCCATCGATGCAGCCATCGCCGCTATGCGTCTGCCCGAGGTGGCCGAGGAGGCCTACACCGTGCTAGACGAGCATTCCAAGGAAATGCTCGAGGCTTATGCTCATGGCGTCAACGCGTACATTGCCGATCATTGGCGACCTTTTGAGTTGGCTCTCGTCGGCTACGATCCCGAGCCGTGGACTCCGCAAGACACGCTCATGACCCTTAACCTCATGTCGGTGGTCGATCTCGCAGACGCCCAGTTGATGATGGAGAAGTTTGTTGTTCAGGCAGTGGCGGGCGGCGCTCCTCTGGCGCCGCTGCACGCGCTTCTTGGTCCGGCCGTCGCAGGTCTCGACGACGAGCTTGCTGCCGAGATCAAGGAGCTCATTCTGTACGACCTCCCTGTCCCTGACATCCTGTCCATGGTCGCCGGCGCGCCGGTCAAGGGGCTCGGCTCCAACAACTGGGTTGTTGACGGCTCGGTGACCGCGTCGGGCAAACCGATTATGAGCTCGGACCCGCACCTGCAGACTTCGCGCCTGCCGGCAGTGTGGTACGAGGTTGTCGTCTCGGTCCGCGGCGGCACGACCTGGGCCGGCATCGGCATGCCGGGCCTGCCGGGCCTAATTATGGGCCGTACTGACGCACTTGCCTTCTCATTCACCTATGGCTTTGCCGACCAGTTTGAGCTCGTCATCGAAGAGATTGTGGATGGCAAGTACCGTGCCGGCGCCGACAAGTGGCTTCCGCTCGCGGTGCGGACGGCGACACTGAAGCAGAAAGGTGGCAGCCCGGTGACGGCAACCTACTACTCGACGCGCAACGGCCTCCTCGAGTACGATCCGCTGGCGGCCCAGCCGCCAGCGGACGGCAAGTACCTCGCGCGAGTTTGCTCAATCTCCGGAGCCGGCATTGCGCAGACCATTGCGGCAGCGCTCCGGGCCTCCGAGGCCCAGACAGTGGCCGAGGCTCAGGCGCTGCAGGCGCAGTTTGCGCCGTCGTTCAACTTTCTCACCGCCGACACTGCAGGCAACATCGGGTACCAGCAGTCTGGCGAGGCGTTTGCCGGTGGCCCGTCGTTTGTCCCGCGCAACGGCTGGAAGCTCGCGTCGCCGCTGGCGACTGCGGAACGGATGCCTGCGTCCGAGCTAGTGCGCGTCACCAACCCACCGAGTGGAATGATGGCAACGGCTAACAACGACGTGTGCGCCGACATGCCGGGCGGCGCCGGGCGGGAGCAGTGCATTGTCAACCTTCACATGGGCCCTGACCGCGCGTCGCGGATCATGGCCAAGCTCGCGCATGAGGCTGCCAAACACCCGCTCACCGCTGCGGACATGAAGGCTCTGCAGCAGGACATGTACTCGCCGTTCATGGCGGCGCTGCTTGATGGCTGGCTCGGCACTGAACTCGGCAAGCTCGCTGCCGCCGGCAACGTCGGCGCCCAGGCTCTTCTTGCCTGGGACCGCCGCTACACGCCCGATTCGGCTGCAGCCTCGCTCTCTCACGACATCCTCCACGCTCTTCTCGACGCTACGTACTCTCTTGTGTTTGGCCACGAGGCGTGGCATCGTGTGGTCACCGAGACGCCGCTCTACGCCGACTTTGCACACCTGTTTAACGCTGCGCTACTCGATGTCTCGACCGACAAGCTTGGCGTCTTCTCGTCGCCTGACGCCAAGGCATCGGCGCTGGCTGCAGCCGCGGCTACCGTGCTTGCGCCTGTGGCCGAGCAGGATGCTTTGGCAACAGTCGAGGCGTGGGGCGACCGGATGGCGTTTACCCAGCTCAATATCTTCTTTGACGGCCACATGGCGTTCCTTGGCCTTAACAACGGGCCGATCCAGATGCGCGGCTCGCACGGTGTTGTAGTCCAGGGCGCGCTCACCACCATCAAGGGCCGCGCTTCCAACTGGTCGCAGTCCTGGCTCATGGTCACCGATCTGGCGTCGTCTTTCATGGAGACGCTCCTTCCAGGCGGTCCGTCTGGCCGTCGCTTTTCATGGCTCTACCTCACCGGCATCGACGACTGGATCAGTTACAACCACAAGACCATCGACGTCTTTTCAGCCTCATCCACCGCCGATGCCGCCGCCAAGACCGATCTGTAACCACCCGTACACAAACACACACAGAGAGAGACACACACACAAGCGCGCGCACACGCACGCTATGTCAAACGCCTTGAGGGCGTAACCATCCACGCGATCACATCCAACAACAGTCGCCTTCCGCGAAGCACGCTCTTCGGGGACAACGAACGATCCCCCCCCCCCCCCCCCCCGCGGGCCCGCCCTCCCCGCCCCCCCACTCCGAGCACCTCCTTGGCCACACTCCACGCCCCAGCCATAGCGGACGAGGCCATGCTGTCGTCCCCCCGAAGCGAGTGTTCCAAGCGCAACGCGGAAGGCCTCTTCTCAACAAGCGGAATGTAGTCCTGGGCATGGTCGCCCTCCTCGGCCTCTACCTGGTGAGCAACCTGTACAGCTCGGGCGGTCTCGCTGGCACGGGTCGTGGGCAGAGCGGAAGCCACCTGGACAAGGATGCCCGCATTGTCATTCTCGGTGCTGGTGTGACTGGTCTCGGTGCTGCCTACCGTCTCAATGAGCTCGGTCACCGTGACTGGGCCGTCTATGAGATGGCCGACAAGCCCGTTGGCCTCGCTCAGTCGGTTGTCGATGACCAGGGCTTCACCTGGGACATCGGTGTCCATGTCCTCTTCTCGCACTTTGGCTACTTTGACACGCTCCTCGGTAGGTGCCCTTCTCCCCCTCCCCTGGCGTCGCCATCTCCCCTCTGATTCCTCACTCACACCGATCCACAGACGCCCATCTGCCGGTCGACGAGTGGCAATACCACACTCGGTCGTCGCCGATCTACATGCGCGATCGGTTTGTGGGCTACCCACTGCAGAACAACGTGTGGCGGCTGCCGCCGGCCGATGCGGAAAAGTGCCTCGTCGGCTTGCTCGAGGTCCACGACGATGCCGTGGGTGGCGTGACCAAGCCCAAGCCGCACACCTTTGCCGAGTGGGTCGATCAGTCGTTTGGCTCGGGCATCGCCGAGGTCTTTATGACTCCGTACAACTTCAAGGTATGGGCCCATCCCACCACCGAGCTCAACCCGACGTGGGTGGGCGAGCGGGTGGCAACCATCGACTTTAAGCGCATTCTCTCCAACATGGTCAACGAGTTTGAGGACGTCCACTGGGGGCCCAACGCCCGGTTCCGCTACCCATCGCGTGGAGCAGGCAAGATCTGGGAGAATGTCTACCGCGGCCTCCCGCGATCGCGGTTTAACTTTGAGATGGAGGCTCTCGAGATCAACGTCGACGACCCGAACAACAAGTACGTGGCCTTTGCCGATGGGACCCGCGTCCCGTTCGACGCACTCATCTCGACCATTCCCATGGACAAGCTGCTCACTCGCATTGCCAACCGGCCGGACCTCGCCGCGTGGGGCTCAGAGAAAGGCGCGTTCAAGCGGCAGACCGTCAACCTGGTTGGGGTCGGGGTCGAAGGCATCACGCCCGCAGCGTGGAACTCCTCGCACTGGATCTACTTTCCCGAGGAGATCTACCCGTTCTACCGCATCACGCTCCTCACCAACTTTTCGCCGTACATGGTGCCCAAGCCTGGCGAGCAGTACTCGGTCCTGGTCGAGGTCTCCGAGTCCAAGTACCGCAAGGTCGATCAGGCGACGCTCGTCGACGACGTCATCGCCGGCCTCAAGCACGCCGGCGTCATTCCGGACGGCGCGCCGATTGTCTCGCGCTGGCAGGAGCGGTTTGACTATGGCTACCCGGTGCCGTACGTCGAGCTCACCGAGCACGTTCTCCGTGCCAACGACGAGCTGCTCCAGCTCGGCATCTGGTCGCGCGGTCGCTTCGGCAACTGGCGATATGTGACGGGCAACCAGGACCACGTGTGCATGCAGGGCGTGCAGGCCGTGGACAACATCCTGTTTGGCGACTACGAGGAGATTGTGTACGAGCCCAACGTGGTCAACGGCAAGAAAGGCCAGCGCAAGATTCTTCCGCCCAAGATCAAGGACCATTGGGATGTGGTCATCCCAGGCTGTGCCTCCCATCTCGCCACCTGGCTCACACCGCTCCTCGACGACCTCGCCGCCGCTGACATCGTCCCGCGGGTCTTTGTCTACTCGTCGTGTGAGTCTGACGACAGCCTGCCGGACACGGTCACTTCCAACTACGATATTCGGATGATGTCTGCCCCCGAGGCGTCATCCCGCACCGCCAACCTCGTCACCTACGCCTCGCACGTCCTCGCTAACTACGATGACCTCAACCCGATCACCTTCTTCCTGCCCGGCGCTGCAACTATGGGCGCCTCGCTCACCCACCCCTCGCCGCACGACTTTGACATCACCTCGTCGTACGAGAACCGCGGCCACTTTATGTATCAGAAGGCCGATGGCGTCACCGACCCGCACTTCTGCACCTTCTTCGAGGCCCTCTACGCTTTTGATGGCCTTGACTGCCCGACGGTCTTTGACTCGGCAGCCGCCTTCCACATCTCGCGCGGCACCCTCCTCCACCTCTTGCCGCAGGACTATCAGGACCTACTCAAGCACGCCTAATGCTAAACAGCGCCGCTTTACTGCTTGCCTAGGCCAAGCCGGAACTTGTGCTTCTGCTTGACCTTCCCGTGTCCGCCGTCACCACCAGGAGCCGGTGCCGCCGGAAGAGCAGATCGCTCCTCTGCGCCAGGTGAAGGAAAGAAGCCCTCAGCAACCCAGGCCGCCACGTACGCATCGACCAGCTGCTTCGATACCGGCGGACATCTTGCTGAAATCAACTCCTTCGAGTTCGGCACCTCAAACTTGGGATACAGCTCAGGCGGTGGCAGCTCACCGGCCAAGCCCGAGATGTCGCCCGACTCTTCAAAGAAGAGCAAGACAGGGAGAAGAACGCCATCGTCGCTCCGCCGCGCATGCTCCAGCAGCGTCCGGAACCATCCGTCGTACGATGACGGGTACAACTTGTACTTGGCCCGCCGCAGCAGCTTCCACAGCCGCGTCAGCGGCATCGGACTTGGATTGAGAATGTGGAAGTCGCGCCCGAGCCCACGCCCAGAGAGCGCCAACTCGACCACGGCCTTGGACGCGTAATCCACGGGCGTAAAGTCGACGAGTGTCTCCAGCTCGGACGGCACAAACTTGGTCTCTACACAGCCCTTGAGGACCCTCGTCAGCAGGTCATCATGCGAGCCAGCGCCTGTCTGCGAGTGGGGCGCAATACGTCCGAGCCGGTAGATCGAGGCCGGCACGCCGCGCTCGCAGCGCGCCAGTGCCACAATCTGCTCGCCAACCCACTTGGACTGCGAGTAGCCCGAGACCAACCGCTCCCACCGTGGGAACACATCAGTTTCAGAAATAACCCGCGCATCAGTGTCCAGCGTCGAGAGCGTCGAGATAAAGTGGACCGGGGTGGCGGCATCGCCGCCGATCGCCCCAAAGCACGCCAGCCGCAGCACCTCCTGCGTCCCAATCACGTTTGGGCCCTTGAGAGCAGAGTACGGGTACACAAAGTTGACTCCCGCGCCGTTGTGAATGATGACGTCAACAGACCGCGCGAGAACCGAGAACGCGTCCGATGTCAGCCCAAACATGTGCGGCCCGAGCTCGCCGACCACGACGCGCACCCGCTCGCCGTAGGTCGCCGCTGGAGGAGGCAGCCCAAACTTGGACGCGCCCACGTCAAGTCGCGCTCGCCCGCTTGCTTCATCACTTGCTCGGACCAGGCACTTGACCTCGGCCCGCGTGTTTGCCAACAGCTCGGCAAGAAGAAACGAGCCCACGAACCCGGTGGCGCCTGTAAGAAAGACCACCGGTGGCGCAAGGAACGATCCAGCGCCGCTTGCCCGCGGCACCTCGCCGGACGCCGGCGCGCAGATCTCCGACGGCAGCACAACCTCGCCCGCGAGGTCAATCTTGACCACGCTCTCGTCCGCTTCGGCCACGCCTGTGGCCCGCGCCACCACGTTGGCTAGCGCGCTCACCGTTGGCGCTTCAAACACCTCACGCATCCCGATCCGCACCCCCAGCCGCGCCTCGATAATACCTACGAGCTGTGCTGCGAGCAGCGAGTACCCACCGAGCTCGAAAAAGTTGGCGTGGATGCCCACAGACGCCAGCCCGAGCACCTGAGCCCATGCCGCAGCCAGCTCAGCCTCAACTTCGGTCCGCGGTGGCGTGTGGTCCACCCCACTAGCGCCGACTCCCGCAGCATCCTCCGCTGTTGGTGCAGGCAGCGCTCGCACATCAACCTTGCCGTTGGCCGTCAGTGGAAGCGGCCCGCTCAGCACCACAATTGCCCGCGGCACCATGTACTCGGCGAGCTTAGCTGCTGCGTGAGTGTACAGTTCCTGACGCAGCAATTGCGTCGCCCGCTGCGGTGCCACATACGCCACAAGCATCTTCTCCGCTGCGCTTCCTGCCCCGCACGCCATCGCCACCACAGCCGCGTCCGCAACTCCTGGTGCTTCCCGCAGCACCACCTCGATCTCGGCGAGCTCGATGCGGAAGCCGCGGATCTTGACCTGGGCGTCAATCCGGCCCAAGCACGCTAGCGACCCGTCGCCACGCCAACGCACCACATCACCTGTCGCATACATCCGTCCGTCACCATACAATCCGCTTGCAACCTTCAGCCCGAGGCTCTCGGCCACGCTGCGCCACCAACGATCGTCTTCAAACACCGACGCCGTCTTCTCTGGCAGGCCAAGGTAGCCGCGAGTCACACCGGCGCCTCCGACTAGAAGCTGTCCACGCATGCCGCGCCGCACCAGCGTTCCGCGCTCGTCAGTCACATACGCAAAAGTGTTCGCAATCGGCTTCCCGATCGGTGGCGGCCGCACGTCACCGTGTACCCGCCCAACTGTGCACCCAACCGTGGTCTCGGTTGGGCCGTACATGTTGTACAAGGCCAGTTGGTCGCCGTACATCGCCTGCCATGCCTCTGGTAGCACCATCTTGAGCTTGTCACCGCCAGTGTTGATGACACGGAGCGCAAGTCCGGCTGGAGGTGGCTCTCGGAGCACAGCCTCGGTCATAGGCGTCGCCATTGCCTGCACCGTCACCTGCGCATCTACCCACCACTGCAGCAGCGCGCGCGGCTCGAGCCTAGAGCTCTCCGGTACGATGGCCACCTCCGCCCCACAGCAGAGTGCGGGCCAGATCTCACAAAAAACAGGATCAAACGACACGCCAAGCATATGGCCCGACACATCGCCGGGACCCATCTCGTAAGCCCGCAGCCACCACCCAATCATGTTGAGCAAGCACCCGTGTGGCACGCAAATACCCTTGGGCGTGCCAGACGTGCCCGAGGTGTAGATAACGTTGGCAACTGCAGAGGGGCCAGCTGGTGCCCGCACCAGCCGCGCGCTCGACACACCCAGCGACTCGCCGCCCCGCCCCAGTCGCGCGTCGTCGTCAAAGCTCAGCACATGCCGCTTGGTCCCCGGAGCCGGCGGACTCAGCTCGGGAAGCTCGCCACGGTACAGCACGCACACAGGCGCCGAGTTCTCCAGCATGAACGCGATGCGTCCATCCGGAAACGTTGGATCAACTGGCACATACGCACCGCCGGCCTTCCACACTGCGAGCATGCCGACAACAAGCTCCAGCGACCGCGGCAAGACCAGGCCGACGACCGAGCCCACAAACACGCCGCTTGCGCGTAGGATCCTCGCGATGCGATTGGCCCATGCGTTGAGCTCAGCGTACGTCATACTTGTGCCGCTGCCGTCGACCACTGCCACCGCGTCAGGTGTCTCCGCCGCACGCGCCTCGACCAGCTCATGGACGCCGACTGCCGCACGCCTTTCGCCGCTGCCGTCACCATCGGCGTCGTCGCTCTCGTCATCCCCTGCGGCGACAAGGACGCAGGTCGGCGGAGATTCGTCAAACATGACGTCCTGGTGGGTTTCCGTCAGCAGCTGTGCCTCTTCATCAGCCGTGAGAACCGGCATGGCCGCCGCTTCGGCCGACGGCTCAGCCAGCGCAGCCTGAACAAGAGCAGCAAACCCGCCAGCGAGCGAGGAGATGGTCGCCTCGGCAAAGATCTCGGTGTTGTACTGGAAGAACGCGCGAATGCCGTCGTCAGCCTCGGAAACCACCAGCTGGATCTCATACGGCGCCGTGCGCTCCGCAAGCGGCACCGACTCCAGAGTCAGCGACGAGCCGAGACTCAGCGAGTGGCCGCCAACGCCCATGACAAACGCGTCCAGCTCCTTGGCAAGCTTGCCATGCGGCCGTTCAAAGACAAACAGTGCCTGGAAGACTGGCGATCGCGAGGTCTCGCGTTCCGGTGCCACCGACTCGAGCACAAGCGTGAACGGGTAGTCGGCGTGCGCAAGCGCACCGAGCGTTGCCACCCGCACTCGCCGCAGTACGTCTTCAAAGCTCTCGCCCCGCCGACACGTCGACCGCAATGCAACGGGATTGGCCAAGAAACCAACTAGCCGCTCGAGCTCGATCCGCGACCGACACGCCATAAGTGTACCTACAACCACCTCGTCCTGCCCGGCCGCGCGATGCAGTAGCAGCGTGTACAAGGCAAGGAGCGTCATGAACATCGTCGTGCCTTCGGCAGCATTCAGCTCCCGCAGCGCAGCCGTCGTCGCCCCGTCGAGCTCAAAGGCATAAGTTGCACCGGCCGATGACAGCTTGGCAGGCCGTGGATGATCCTCAGGCAGCGTCAGCGCCGGAAGCCGGCCGGCCAGTTGCTGAGTCCAATAGGCCTCGAGCTGGTGGCCCTCAGCTGTGCTCAGCCGGGCAGCTTGCCATCGGTTGTAGGTGTGCAGCTGCAGCGCCTCGGCACGCTCCGCTGCAAGCCCGAGCGCCACAAATCCCGAGTCGGGACCGCTGTTCTCGGCCAAGTCGTACATGCGGCCGAGATCCTCCAGCAGTACCACCATCGACCACAGATCACAGCAGATGTGATGGGTAACAAAGGCTAGCCAGAAGTCCGCGCCGTCGTTGACCACCGTCATCGACGTCAGCGGCCCAGTTTCAAGCGCAATGCAGGCTTCAACGGCGTCGCGGAGAAGCTTTTCGGCGCTAGGCGAGTCGCTTGCAGCCAGGACCTCAAAGCCAAAGCCAAAATCAGGGTCGTAGTACATGAGCGGAACCTGGCCACCGGCCGCAGTCTGGTACCGGGTGGCCAGACCCGGATGTAGTTGGACCAAGAGCGCCATCGCCCGCTGCAGCCGCGCTACGTCAAGCCTGTTTCCAGCCTTGGCCACAAACGACACGTTGTACGTGGTGTCACTCGGATTCAGTAGGTAAGCGTACCACAGCGAAGCCTGGTTAAGCGAGACCGGGTGCGGCTCGTGGAGCCAGTCATCGGCACCGAGCGCCGACTCACCGACAGGCGCCAGTGGAACATGATCGCGGTCGCAGACCTCGCCGCCGACACCGGCCTTGGCACGCGCCTCTAGGTACGACGCAAAGCCGGCGATGGTCGGGTTCTCAAACACCGCCGAGACCGAGATCTCGACGCCAAAGGCAACCCGAGCGCGTGACGCGACCTGCGCGGCCGCCAGTGAGTGGCCACCAAACTCGAAAAAGTCGCAGGAGATGCCGACCTTGGTAACGCCCAGCACCTCCTTCCAGATGTCGGCCACAATGTCCTGTGTCTCGGTCACCGGAGCATCGTCGAGAACTGTGCCGGTGCCGTCTTCGGGCTCATCAACGAGGCTCACCCGCTCTTCGCCGCCCGCCTCATCGAGCCACTGAACAAGCCGCCGCCGATCAGTCTTGCCGTTGGCAGTTGTGGGCAGTGATGCCAAGCCCCACACCACAAACCGCTTCGGCACCATGTACTCGGGCAGCGATGCTCCAAGGGCGACCCGCAGAGATCGCGCCGAGACGTGAACATCGGTGCCGCCGGCCGCAACCACAAACGCCACAAGGTGCTTGCCCAATGCCGAGTTGTCGGAGACCACAACTGCAGCCTCAGACACGGCCTCGACGCTCGCCAACACCGTTTCGATCTCGCCAAGCTCGATGCGGAAGCCGCGGATCTTGACCTGGTGGTCCTTCCGCGCCGCGTACCACAGCTCACCGTGCTCGTCAAATCGCACCACGTCGCCAGTCTTGTACAGACGTGGCGCCCAGGTGGCCGATGAGAACGGGTTGGCCACAAACGACGCTGCAGTTTTCTCCGGCAAGTTGAGGTAGCCACGTGCTACGCCGAGGCCACCAACGTACAGCTCACCCCACACCCCGAGCGGGACGGGTGCCATGAGCTCGTCGAGAACGTACACAACCTGATTGGTGACTGGGAAGCCGATCGGCGGCGGAAGAAGCGTGCGCGGCGGGAGCGGGCCGGCAGCACAGCTCCACTCGAGCGCGACCGGATCCTCGGGCGTGATGTGTGCAACGGCAGAAATGACTGTGTTCTCGGTCGGACCGTACAAGTTAATGACCTTGAAGGCCGCGGCTGGGTCTGGCCGGGTGTGCACCACGTCACCACCGGTGAAAATGTACCGCAGCGGCAGCGCACAGCATGCGTCGCGCTCACGAAACATGGCCTCCATCAGCGGCGTCGGCGCGAGGCAGCAGGTTAAACTATGGGTGGAGATGAACGTCATCAGCTCTAGAACGTCGAGCCGCTTGCTGTCATCAACTGGCCAGAGCGAGCCTCCAGCGTAGAGAATAGGCCACATCTCGATGACGCAGGCATCAAAGCCAACGCCGCACGACATTGTCGCCCGGTCGGCAGCAGACAGAGCGTACGTCTCGAGCATGTGAACAACGAGGTTGTTGAGCGAACTGACCTCAATGCACACACCTTTGGGATTGCCGGTTGTACCCGAAGTGTAGATGACGTACGCAAGCGAGGCAGACGAGAAGCCACTGCTAGCAGGCGCAAGAACGCCTGGCCGCGCCGGATCGTAATCCTCTGCACCAACGCAGCCGTCGATCTCGAGCCAGTGGCTGCAGTGCGGCATGACTGCTCGGTCGAGGCTTGCCACCAGCTCGGACGTCTCGGCGTGAAAGAGGCAGATCGGCGCGCGAGAGTCAGCCAGCATGTACTCCAGGCGGTGGACCGGGTAGTGGTAGTCCATCGGCATGTAGGCAAGGCCGGCGCGCATGATGCCCACCATGGCAACCAGCGAGTCGATGGACCGGTGCATGCAGACACCGACAACAGTGTCGTGGTCCACACCCGGCACGTCTAGGAGCATAGACGCAACTCTGGCCGATGCCCCCTCGAGACCGGCAAAGGTCAGGCGCCGCGGCGGCGAAGACCCCACCTGAGTCCGTCCAGCCTCGTCCACAGCCACAGTCTCGGGCGGAAGCTCAGCGGCGTGTCTAACTAGGACGTCAAGGAGCGAGTGTCGGTCATCGAGATCGAGCCGCTCCGGCTGAAAGGCGTGCATGACAGTCTCAATCTCGACAGGGGGAGCGACTTGAGCCGATGCAAGAACAGTGCCTGGCTCGGCAATCCAGGACGAGGCCAAATGGACAAACCAGTCTAGCATCCGTTCCATCCGCGCCGGTGCAAAGACATCGGCGTTGTACTCGAGTGAGAGCGCGGTGCGACCGTCAGCCAGGCGGGCGGCGACAAGAGTGAGGTCAAACATGGCGGCATGCCTAGGCATCTCGCAGCCAGTTGCGGCAAAGGGACCAAAGTCGACCCGAGTCCCGGGTCCACCCTCGCCGAGCAGCAGCGCACCAAGTGCATTGTGCTCGATTTGGGTCTTCTGCAGGACAAAGGCGGCCTGGAAAATCGGCGAGCGAGACGAGTCGCGCGCTGACGAGTCCATGCACTTGGCCACCATTTCCGAGAACGGAAAGTCTTGATGGTCGAGGGCTTCCAAGACCGAGATCTTGACCTGGTCAACGAGCCGGTACAAGCTTGTGGACTTGGGCTGCACCACGTCGCGGATGGGAACCATGTTGATAAAGTAGCCGACGGTGTCCTCAAAGCCCGGTTCGGAGCGGCCAGCCATAGGCGAGCCGACAGTGACGTCGGTCTGGTGGGTGACTCTCACCAGAAGCGCCTTGAACAGCGCGAGCAGGACGACATACTCGGTGGCGGAGCAGTCGCTTGCCAGCGATGCTAGCGCTGCGGTTACATCGGCGCTGAGATGCGTTCGGACAAGTCCACCAGCGTGCGAGGCACTGGCCGGACGGACATAGTCGGTCGGGAGATCCAGGGCCTCGACGCCGTCGAGCTTGCGCTTCCAGAAGCCCTCGAGACGCGAGCCCTCTACGCCGGCGAGGATGGCGGCCTGGTGGGTAGCAAAGGCATGGTACGGCTTGCCGGGCTGGGCGAGGCCAACACCAATGAGCTGCGGCGCGACTGGTGCAGGCTTCGACTTGTGAGTCCCGTACCGCGCCGCGAGCTGGCTGACTATGAGAACGAGTGACCACAGATCAACGGCAATGTGGTGAACAGCAAATCCGAGCCAGAGTCGGGGCCCAGGGCACGACACGGCGCGACAAGCTAGGAGCCGGCCACTGCCAAGATCAAACGGCAGGAATGCGAGAGAGTCGAGCGCGGCGCGAGCAGCGGATGCACTGCTGGCCTGCACGCGGGAAAAGAGTGGGATGCCAGCGTCATGTGCAGCCTTGCGCAGCTCGTTCACATTTCGAGACCGCGGTGCATTTCCAGCGTAGGCCGTGCGCAGCTGTGGATGCGCGTCGAGCACATCGTAGAGCGCGAGTTCAAAGGCATCAAGTTCAAACACACCTGGTGCCTCAATCTCCATGGCAAATGTGATCGAGTATGCGGCAGTAAGGAGCTTGCCCGGAGTAGAGTCTGCACCAGCGCCACTGGCAATCTGGTCAAGGAACCAGAGCGCGTTCTGGTTGTACGACAGCAGCATCAGCTGCGTCGACGGGCTTGATGCGGGAAGTATCGGCGACGGGGGATCGATGGAGTGGCCGACGCACACGCCAACAGTGCTGCAGCGACACCGGCAATCGTCGGTGCGTTGTAAAAGGCTGATAGCGGGTAGTGAACTAGACCAAACTCGCGACGGAGCCGGGAGACCAGGCGCGTGGCGGTCAGCGAGTGGCCGCCAAGATCAAAGAACGAGGTTGTGGCCGAGAGAGAGGTCATGGGCAGCGCGAGCATGTCAGCAAAGATGGCTGCGACGAGGGACTCAGAGTCGGATGCAAACGATCCTGGCGCCCGTGGTGAGAGGCGTGCGAGAGCGCCAGTCGAATCGGCTCGTGGGCCTTGGCCAGCGTTCCCGCCATGGCTCGCATGCTCGATGAGTGCATCGTGCGTTGGCGGCGGCAGCGCCTTGCGGGCAACCTTGCCTGACGGAGTGAGCGGAAAGTGGTCCATAAAGACGAACGCCGACGGGACCATGTACGACGGCAGCGAGGCAGCCACGTGGTCGACCAGATCCGCTGGCGTGACCGCCGGATCGCCGCCAGAGCCAGACAAAGCGGCAGCGACAAGGTAGGCAACCAGAATACGTGACGCTGGTGAGCTAGATGTCGAGCCCGGTGCGTCTTGAGCGACAACGACGGCTGATTGAATCGCTGGGTGGGTGCCGAGAACAACCTCGACCTCCCCAACCTCGACTCGATGACCACGAATCTTGACCATGGCCGACTTGCGGGCGAGGTACTCGAGCTCTCCAGACGCCAGCTGGCGGACCATGTCGCCAGTGTGATAGAGACGGGCGCCAAGCGGAGCGGCGGGCGTCAGGGTGTCGGGCACAAAGGCTGCCGCGGTGAGGTCAGGTGCGTGGAGATAGCCGCGGGCGAGAACGTCGCCGCCGATGAGCAGCTCGCCCGGAACACCGGGCGGAACAACAGCTCCGCTGGCATCAACTATGTAGCAACGGGCCTTGGCGATGGGAAACCCAATCGACGGAAGTGCGGGCCAAGCCGCTGGATCGCCGTCAAGAACCGCAGCGGTGACCACGTGGGTCTCGGACGGCCCGTAGTGGTTGTGCAGCGAGGACTTGGGCCCGAGACCAGCAAAAAGCGCGCGGACGGCGCGGGTGCAGAGGAGCTGCTCGCCGGCGGTGATGACCTGGCTGAGCGCGCGCGGAAGGAGCCGAGTCTCGAGCGCCATCTCGGCAAGCGCCTGCAATGCGACGTAGGGAGAAAGACTCGCTCAACGCGCGCAGTCTCCATGACTGCCAGCAGCATTTCAAAGTCTTTGCGGACCATTTCGGGGACGAGAACTAGCGAACCGCCTGTAGAGAGCGCGGAGAAGAGTTCCTGAAAGTGGACATCAAACGAGAGCGAAGCAAACTGAAGAGTAACTGCCGGGTGCGCGCCGAGCGTGATGTGCTGCCAGGCGATGAGGTTAGAGAGTACACCCGAGACCATGGCGACGCCCTTCGGCAAGCCAGTTGAGCCCGACGTGAAGATGACGTAGGCCAACGAGTCTGGCGAGCGCGGCGTCAGCTCGAGGTTGGCGGCACAGGTCGAATCCGAGGTCTCAGGCTCAGGCTCGAGCGGAAGCTGGATGATACCAGCCATGCTGGCTGCGGCGTCGGCCATATCAGGCTCAAGAAAGCGGGAAGCTGTGGCGTCCGAGACCAGGGCGACTGGTGCACACGAGGTCTTGAGCATGTATGCCAGGCGCGAGGCTGGATATTGCGGGTCGAGCGGGACGTACGCGCCGCGAGCCTTGAGAACGGCGAGCACAGCTACAACCATGTCAATGGAGCGCGGAATCATGACGGCCACACAAACGTCAGGGCCAACACCAAGGTCAACAAGCTTACGGGCAAGGATGTTGGCAGCAGCGTTGAGCTGAGCGTAGGTACAGGAGGCCGACGGCGTGTTGGAGACGTCGGTTTCAGCATAAAACGCGAGCGCGAGCGCGTCCGGAACGCGGGCGACAGCAGCCTCGAACATGGCCTCGACCGACGAGGCGGCGAGACTGGCGTACTCGCCAAGCTCGGTCGGCTGCAACAGCGCTGCCTGGTGATGCGGCGGAGCGACGGCGAGCTTGCCCACAATGTGGTTGACTTCTGCGTCAGTAAGAAGGGAGATCGAGGTCAGATCAAGAGTCCCGGGCTGAGCAGCGGTGGCGAGGCTCTCCAGCACGCGAACAAAGTGGGTCGCGAGGCGGGCGACGGTGTCTGATGCAAGCGAGGCCTCCGCGCAGTGTACAGCGCCACCAAGGCTGCCGTCGGGTGCCTCGGCAAGGACGAGTCCGACGAGCGCAGCATGAAGCGAGAGCGGAAACGGCGCGGCGAGGTCGGAGCCGGTGACGGTCACGCCCGGGCCGGGCTCCCACTCGGACTCGGGCCCGCAGACACCGGTGAGGACCAGCGGTGGCGCAGTGGCGCGACCATGAGCGCGAACAAAGGCAAACGCCGCGTTGGTCTCGGTCTCGCCGCGCTGAACAATGCCAAGGGCGGCGAGCTTGTCGCGCAGCAAATCGGCCGGATACTCTTGGTGCTCCGAAGCAAAGACAAGCGCGTCGCGGACGGCTGCGACAAAGGTGGTCAAGGTAGCGTCGCCATCCGGGACGGTGAGCAAAACAGGGACCGAGTTGGCAAAGGCACCGACAGTGAACGCGGCGCGCGAGCGCCGAGCGCGCCCGGAAAAGACAGTGGAGACCACCAGCTCTTCCTGGCCGCCAGCGTAGCGTGAGAGGACCAGCGCGTAGGCCGCAAGGGCTAGAGCCTTCAGATCGACGCCGAGTGAGCGGGAAGCACGGTCAAGGGCTCGGACGGTGGCGCGTGGGATAAGGAAAGTGGCCGGTGGCGGCAAGGGCTGAGCATTGTGTGTCTGCTCGCGGGTGAGCTCCAGCGGCGGCAAAAGGTGTGCGCCCGCACCGAGAGCTTCGTACCAGTTGGAAAACAGGGCCTTTCCACGGTCTGAGTCGAGGTAGCCGGCCAGGTGTGTGGCGTAGCGCGGGTACTCGAGATCGACATCACGAGAAGAGGCATGAACCCGGGCAATGAGCCGGGCATGCTGAATCTCGGTCAGCATGTAGCCTTCCAGTAGATGGCGGAGAAGGATGAGGCCCGAGAGCTCGTCGGCAACCAGCCGAGAAGCGACAATGGCAACAGTCCACGCAGCGTCATCACGTGTATCGCGGCAGTAGACAACCCGGAAGAGCGGCGCGGCTGACGGCGGGTGGAGGTCTCCTCGGAAAGCGAGACGAGCAAGCTCGTCGCGGCGATCGCACTCCTCGACCAGACACGAGTGCGCAGCGGCGACCCACTCTGAGTGCGGTGGATGGACAAAGTAGGTGGCGGCATCAAGGGCATCGGAAGCGAGGTCAAAGGCGGCGCGAAGCATGGGATGGCGCGCAAGCAGCAGGCTGGCGGAGGCCTGAAGGCGCGAGAGCTCAAAGAAAGCGCCGTCGTGAAGCCTGATGGAGGCGGCGACAACCAGATGCGGAAGTCTGCGACCGGCGCGAACGACGGCGGCTTGCTGGAAGCTCAGCGGCGCCGGCTCATCGCCAACAATAGCTGCGACTGGGAGCGCAACAAGCGGCGGCGAAGACGATGAGAGTGACGGCGAGTAGGCCGAGGTCAGCGGTGACGATGAGGCCGACGACGGAAAGGCGGGAATGCCCTGGGCCCGCACAAGCGGCGAAGGCATGGCGTCAAAGTAAGAGGTGAACGATCCGACAAACGAGCCGGCTGCAAACGAGGGCGTGGCGATGGCCGTCGGTGACTCGGCGGTCAACGGAGCGTACGACGACCTGACGGCCGGCGAGTACAGCAACGGTGACGGAAGAGGAGCGCCGGGCGAAGCCACGGTAGCCATGAGCACAGCAGGTGGTGGCTGGACAACAGCTCCATCTCCAGCTCCAGGAGCAGTCGACGAGACAGGCGGTGATGCGGCCGAAGCGAAGCGGAGCGACGATGCGGCCGAGGCAGCGAGGACATGGGCGTGGAGCGAGGAGCGGACCGACGAGGCGCGGAACGACGATCCGGTAGAGAGTGAGCCAGGTATGGTCACGCGCAGTGGAGAGGAAGGAGCACTAGATGTATTGTTGCTGTTTTGCTCGTTTCGGTCAGTGTCTGAGGCTCAGTCGCGCCTCGCGATGACTGCCCATCCTCCACCTGGCCCACATCGACCCGGTTGGCATGGGGGGGGACGGCCGCCTGCGACAGTGCTGCCGACATGCCCGACATGGTAGGCGGTGCCTTGCGCCCAGTGCCACGCCCACGGCCTACGCGGCGGCAGTCAGCCATGGTAGATGTGGTGAAAGATAGAGATGTGGTGCGGAGAGAGTGGTGGGTGTAGGGGTGTGGGGAGGGGGGGGGGGAGGGGACGGAGGAAGAGGAGAGCGAGAGCGAGCGGGGGAGAGGGCAGTGGAGCCGTGGCGGAGGGGGGGTGTCACGGCGTAAGGATACAATTTTGGCTTGAAAAGCTCAACCGGCCATTTCGTTTGGCAAACCGGCCCAAACAGGCGCTAACGGAAGGCGAGGGGAAAGCGAAGAGGGTTACAACTAGGAAGTAAATGGTATCACCCTGCAAGTCCAAAAGGTCAAGGGAATCCTGGCCAAGTACTTGAAGATGGAGGAGGAGAGGGAAATGCGCGGGTGATGGGGGGGATGTAGACCACGTGACCTGACCGGGGGGTTTTCGGGATATTGGGAGGGGGAGGGGAGGGGAGGTTAGTGAGGCCGAGGTGGAGAGAGAACGGCGTCGACCGAGGTAACGTCTCTCTCGTCGATTCAGCAAAACGTCGTCTTTAGGGATGGGACGCGGGGGGATGGCGCAGGAGAAAGGATCAGTCAATGCATCTGGAGTGATGAGCGAGTCGTCTGCACTGCTTGGCCATGTCGAAGTGGTTGAGGGAGGCACGGCCAATTCTGACCACGACGGCCACGGCCACGGCCATGGCGGTCATGCCCAGGCCTCAGTCCCTGCTTCTATCTTCAACCTCATGAACACTATGATTGGAGGTGGCACTGTTGCCATGGGTACGGGGGTCGGGGGGGGGGGGGGGGGGCGGGAGGGGGCGGGGAAGGGGGCGGGGGAGGGGACGGGGAGGGGACGTGGGGGGGGAAGGCGGGGGCGGAGGCATCCACAGTCACCGCAGTCACATGAGAGGGGATAGGGCCCGGGTGGGAAGAGGGAGGAGGGAAGAGGGGGAAGGGGGAAGGGAACTTATAGTGTGGAGGTGTTGGTGTTATCGATGTGGAATCCGGGTTCGACTGGCTTTGTGGTGGCCGACCCTGCATGGTCGTTGGTGCCTTGCTGTGGCTGGCTGGCTGGTGACTGGTGGTGGCTGGTGATGGCTGTTGGTCGTCATCATGGGGGGATGATGGAGAGTACAGCCGTTTGCTTTCAAGAGCGCCGGCATCGGGTTGACGCTCATCTTTATGCTTATTATTCTTGTGTTCTGCGACTACACGCAAAAGCTGCTCTTCCGCTCCTCGCGGATTGCGGGCAAGGCCGGACGGACGTACGAGGACCTGGGGCGTGTGGCGTTTGGTGAGCGTGGGGTCAAGGTGACCCAGATTGTGGAGGTGCTCAACACGTTTGGCGTGCTCATTGCATACCAGGTCATCATTGCAGACCAGTCTGACATTCTCAAGCGGTGGCTCTCGGACGACTTTATCCTGCTCCGGTGGCACTCGAAGCTCTTCCTCCTGGTGGCTGTGGTGGCTGTCATCATGCCGGTTTCGATGGCGCGGACGATGAAGTTCCTAGCCATTCCGTCAATGCTCTCCCTGCTGGCGATTGGGATCACGGGCGTGGCCATCATTGTGCGTGGCATCGAGCATGCCGGCTCGGCGACCAAGAGCTCGCAGATCCCGTCGTGCAGCGTCGAGTTTTTCAAGTTTGAGACTAATCTGCTCCTCGCACTGCCGATCGTGACCCTTGCCTTTACCTCGCATATTAACTACCTGCATACGACGGATGCGCTTAAGCGCCCGACGCCTGGTCGCGTTGCGCTCGTCTCGCACACCTCGATGATCCTCTCGGCCGTCTTCTACATTGCGGTCGGTATTCTTGGCTACTCGACGTTCTGCGACTCGACGCCCTCGGACATTCTTGTCGGCTACTCGCCGAGCGACGACCTCATCCAGGTCTCGCGGGTCCTCATGATCATCTCGTTTATGTTCTCGTACCCGCTCCTCTGCTTCCCGTGCCGCAACGCGGTGACCCAGATCTTGTTCAAGGGCAAGCCGTTCTCGTGGCCCCGCCACATCAGCATCACCCTCATCATTGTTGTCCTCACTTACCTGGTCGCCATCTCGGTCCCAAACCTCGGCGTTGTTGTCGGCTTTATCGGCTCCATCACTGCCACCGCCCTCTCGCTCACGCTTCCGACCGCGTACTACCTTAAGATCGCCGACGGCCCGATTACGTCGGCCGACAAACTTCCGGCGCTGGCAGTCCTCATTCTCGGCACCTCGTTTGGCATCGCTGCAACGGCAGCATCGATCTACAACATTACCCAGGGCAATACCGAGTAGTAAAACACGACGTGTCGCGATGGTTTGACGGACGGCTCTGAAGCTCAGTCGTCCTCGATTCGCCCGATGACGACGTCGATGACCTCAGCCATGATCTCGCGGAGCTCCTCAAGATCGATCGTGGTGTAGTCGCCATTCTCATCCTTGATGTGGTTGGCCGGAAACGCGGTGTTGGTCCACGACGCGTAGTGGATGCCTGACCATTGCGAAGTCCTCGCGTACATCGGCGGCGAGTCGCCGACCGGCCGCAGCTCGACGAGGGCTGCATGATCGGGGAGGAAGAGCGAGTGTGTGAGCGCAGCGCCATGCATGCCCACCAGGACATCAGTCTGCGAGACAATGTCAAGCTGGTTGGAAAAGGCGTACTGCGAAAAGTCGACGACGTCAACAACCACCGGCCGTGTGCGGAGGCTGCGCGGCGACGGTGGTGGCGGTGGCGATTGCACCACTCGGCGATGCGAGCGCGGCTTCGCCTCTGTGGCGTTGCCTGCGTGGCTCGAGCGAAGCGGTGGCGGTGGGCTGGACGGAGGGGGCGGGCTAGGCGATGGGAGCGGTTTCGGCGGCTTGCCAAGCGCACGCAGCATGTCGACCAGCTCGGCCTCGTTGGCGATTTGGCGACCCATGAACGAGTGGTCGACAAACGAGTGGTACGGCCGGCGTGAGATAAAGGTGATTCGCAGCGGAGTCGACTTTGGCGCACCGGTCAGGTCGCGCATTTGAAGCCCGAGACCGTTGAGAACATAGGTAGCGTAGGCACGGAGAAGCCCGACCCCGCCGGTGCACTGCGGGTTCTTGTCAAAAAAGATCGAGGTGTAGCCAGGCGGCGAGAGAGCAGCGCGCGCAAAGCGAACGACCTTGCCGCCGGCAAGCCGCATAGCGTCATTGTAGAACGTCGACGTGCGGACGAGCTTGCGGAAGAGACGTGCCCAGAGATGGTCATATGGCCCGGACTTGTGGTTGTCGAGAAAGACAACATCGACTTCAGCCGGATCCCAGCCGTTGACATAGCAGCTGATAAAGGCGTTGACAAGGTCGGTCGTCGAGTGGTACCAATTAAAGTGCTCGCCGCGTTCACGGGTGACCAGCACGACCGGCGTCTCCATATCGAGATCCACGACCGGCATCTGCTCCGACGAGCTGGCGCCAGCAAAGGCCAGGGCGTAGTCGCGGAGATGATCGGCCGGGAACATTCTCGGCTGAAAGTCGGATGTGGTGAGGCAGAGCGACGACCAGCCGCCGTTGCGTTTGAACTCGAGGAAGGTCGGCGTGCCCGCGCACATGTAGCCAGGCCGAGACCGCGGGCACTGGATGGCGCGCGCCGTCTGAAAGTCGACAACCAGATTCGAGGCTGTGCAGAGAACGTGAGGCGCAGTCGGTGCCGGCATAAACGGATGCCTGGTTGATGCGCATTCGAGCCGGCCAGCCAGATGTGGAAACGCTGGCGCTTCAACAGCTTCTTCTGACGCTGTTACGTTGTCGCCGGCTGGCAGTGGCGGTGGAAGCACCACGCTCGAGTCGAGCGAGATATGACCTTGCGGGCGCGACGGCTTGAGACCGAGCAATTGGCGACGGCTGTCTTGCCTGGTCTGATCTGAAAGGGCGGGCGGCGGCGGCGGCGG